CGCAGGGGAGACGGCTAGGGATTAAAGAGGAAAGAAAAGTAAAGGTTAACTGATATATATATATATATATATATATTAAACGATTTATTCGCGCGCGACGACGCGACAAAATGGGTGTCCTCCCCGGGTAAAATCGACGTTCCGGACGCGTTGGCGCAGTCCGTTTCCGCATCCGGGGTCGCTCGGACGACGTAGTCGACAATCGGGTCAAAAACGGATCAAAATTCAAATTTCACGAAGTATTGACCCGCGATCGATCGTACCAAAAGGTTTACTCGAGCATTCGACAAGTAACAGCGGAGGCAATGTGAATTGCGGCGATCGGACACGTCGACTCTCCGAATTGCGAAGCTGGTGCGCGCAGGAGCGAATTGTGCAGAAGGCCACCCTAAGGTTCGGAAAGGTCCTGTAGGAATCCATTTTGGGTTTCCTCATGTCGGTTTCATCCTTCTAAGTGTTAGAAGTCGATACCGCACACGCGAAACTCCAAAAGAGGACGGAAATAAGTCGAACTAAAACGAGGCGGGCACCACTTCTAAGGTTCTAAGATAGTCGCAGGAAGACCCCTAAGGCTAGATCCTAACTCCTACGAGAAATACTAGACCTCACGAAAATTGAGGTCAACATAGTATTTTACCACAAAGCCACCAAATATCACAAAATATCACCAAATCCACACTTATTCATACCTATCTTATCAACATGTAATATTTTTTCGCATTTAAGAGGGGAAATCAACATTAAAATTTTATAATTTAACATATTTTTTACATGTCTCCACTTCTCCCTCACGTAGCTCCCCAACCACCCAAAACCTGCACCGCTCTTAAGCCAGCCACATCTCCTCTCTACTGAGCCATGATCTCCACTGTCGCAGCCCAGTAAAACTACTGCTCCCAGCTCCCCCAGGCTCACACCAAGCATTGATCTCCCCTCCAATGGGCTACCCAATCGAGACTCCTGCAATTTCTCTTTGCCTGACTTCCCAGTTCAGGCTGAAACCCCAGACTGAGACCTCTACGTCTATTCCACAGCACCTAGCCTCAACTCTCCCTGAAATCCCCTTGCATGCGTGCAACAGCCATTTGCATTGACCACCCTTTTTGTTCTTACCTGATACCGCAAGTCAATCCTCTACAACTCCACTAACGTTCTAACATTTCTCAATCTCAGTTTTTATAAGAGAGGATAAAATCTATTGAGAAAGAGGAATAGGAGAGGATAAGCACATTATATTTTTTAACTATCAATTGTCCCAAAATACACACCAATAATTGCTATTTATAGGAATATGGTTAGAAAAAGGATTGAGACAAAATCTAATCCAAATTCAGTTCAAACATAAATATTATACAAAAGGGTTAATTTATTTATTTTACACTATTTGTAGATTTTCTTAATAAACCAAAATAAATACTTAAAATATTATAAAATAATTTATACGTAATTTCTTTTGTTGCATCCGAAGGTCACGAAAAAAATTTGAATCAATGAAGGGTTTCATCTATTGTTATAGTGAGATAAAAATAGCGCCAAATTGATTTTTTTATAAGTAATAAAACATTTCAGTCTAAAGTGAGTGGTGAGAACTGTAAATTAGTTTCTCTTGAACCAGTAGATTCTAAATTTGGTATTTGATGCACTTAAACTCTGGAGAGCTAAAGCACGATGGCACACTAGTCAGATTTTGAGACTTGCCACCTCTAATACTTGTGCTCCAAAAGGTCTGGGGGAAGATATTTACCTGAATTTCTTGCATTTACTCACCATTGCCTCTTGAGCGGCATACTTTAGCAGCTAGGCAACTTTAAGGATTAATTTAGATTTTGAATTTTCTGGTCAATTTTCCCCCACGCAGAAATGGTCGAGCGCTGCTAGGGAGCATATGAAAAGTGGCATATTTCGGCCATGAAATCTTTTGGTCAATCATTCCCCAAGTTACAAGGGGCAAGACAGTTTCGTGGCAAGCTAGAGGACCAAAGCTTCCAGTTGATTTTTTTATGGCTCAATCCACTTGACCAAGAAATATAGGAGTTTAAGAAAGCTCTTCAAAGCGTTAAATGTGATTTTTGAAGTTATGTGAGTGCTTTTAATACCAGAAGATTTTGTAAAACTAAATTAACTTTTTTTTTTTAAATTAACCGTAAGATTTGATCATTTTACCTTGATTCTTTGCATTTTATCTTACCTTTCTGTGGGGTCTATATTTTTCAGACATGCTACTCGAATGATTTTTAGTAGTAGTAGGAGGATATAAACTTGAATGGCCGAGTGCTGCTAGGGAGCATATGAAAAGTGGCATATTTCGGCCATGAAATCTTTTGGCCAATCATTCCCCAAGTTACAAGGGGCAAGACAGTTTCGTGGCAAGCTAGAGGACCAAAGCTTCCAGTTGATTTTTTTATGGCTCAATCCACTTGACCAAGAAATATAGGAGTTTAAGAAAGTTATTCAAAGCGTTAAATGTGATTTTTGAAGTTATGTGAGTGCTTTTAATACCAGAAGATTTTGTAAAACTAAATTAACTTTTTTTTTTTTAAATTAACCATAAGATTTGATCCTTTTACCTTGATTCTTTGCATTTTATCTTACCTTTTTGTTGGGTCTATATTTTTCAGACATGCTACTCGAATGATTTTAAGTAGTAGTAGGACGATATAAACTTGTGAAGGCCAACTTAGAATTAACGCTTGAGGTTATGTGTTGCTTTGAGGTAGATGGGACAGCAGAAAGCTTATAGATTGAGGGGACTTACTGGGTATATTTGAAACGTGTACATCGAGAGGGATTGAGGTTCTGTATTTTGATGAATGATGATTAGTACGGATTATTGAAATCTCACTTTCTCTCTAAAAAACTGCCTATCTTACTATTTGGTTTGAATAAACTTTCTGGGTTTTTTTTTTTTAATGATTTCGTTTGTTTATTATGATTGCTTATGCACTTTCAGGGGTTTGGTTCTTTTTGCTAGTGCTATTATTGTAATTTTATGTGTTGCTTATTTTGTCATGACAGGTTCTATTAATAGCTAATTCATTCGATATTTTGAACTTTTGATGTAAATGTTTCCATTATTTTCATTTTTAGCATGTTGATTAGTGGCACACTTCTGCAGGTAGCACAAATGAGTGAAGAAGAAGATGGCCCTGAGGAAGCTGTCCAAGTTGAAGCTGAGGATTCAACGGAGGGCACTGTCTTTGTAAATGGGGATGACGGTGAAGAAGAGTATGGTATGAATGATGAAGGAACTCGGTCAGCCTAAAGGAATTAGTTCGCTGAAGTGTAAAAGTGCAAATTTTGTTTCTGGTGATTAATTGTATTTCTATTAACATGCCCTTTTTACTGGTTTTGGGACGATATCAGCTATTGGAAGTGTTCAGGTTTGCACTAGAAACCGAGTTAGGGTGACTGACAATTTTTTGTTTTCAACATTGCTATGTATAAACAAATCCAAACATGTATAAACAAATCCAAATAATCTGGTGAGATCCAACGAAGTAATAGTGTATAGTGGCCTTACTCGTGTATTCAGGATTCTCATCACCAACATTATATTGAGCTTACATGGTATGAGCTAAAGAGATTCCATCTTAGCCTTTTTTATATCGTTAACCTTTGAAGAAATAAGTTTAACATGTACTTTTACCTTTTTATAGATCGGAGAGCACAGTTATTGCTCTTAATCTGTAAATATAAACCTGTTTTGTTCTGCAATGATTACAGGATGAGAGAGGTTTTTCATTGTTTGTCATCTATTCAGAACGAATACATTAGGATGCCATTTTTTTTAAATTGAGTTTTTTTTTTTATGGCCTTGATTTTTTTACAAGTTATTCACATTTAACATTTAAGAATTGTTAAATGAAGAAACTATGTATTTATGCCCCACGTGGACATTACACAGCTATTGTTGTTGTTGTTTTCAAACTCTATTACTTTTCTAAGCTAGTTAAAATGTTACTTTTCTGGAGAAGCTTTATTTCAAAAACCTGCTTTTATCATTCTTCTTTTTCATTTGGAATATGAACCTTTGTATATTCTTTCCTAACTCCCTGATTGCTATTCTTGATGTTATTCTTGTAGTTCTAACTCCGCGACATCAATGATCCATCAATTGGAGGCCAATCTTAAAGGTATACTTCTTCCTTTTTTTCTCTCTGTATGTAAAATGTGGCAAAATTAGAGGTAAGGATATTGCATTTCTTATTTTACTACTAAAATTTATCTGACTTTTTTTTTTATCACGATTTGACTAGGTTGAATCTTTGGATTTATTTTTTGGCTAAATTCAATCACTAGTGGGTTGAATTAGATTCTAGATAGCCTCTTAGATCGTGATTCTCTTTATGCTCATTTGCCCTGCAAATTATTATTGGTCACCGGGATGCTACACCCATCTTTTTATATTTTCTCGTAATCATGAGGATGATTAGTTTTTCTTCTCGTCTCTGGTAAGAGCCCTCTCTTCATTCTTTCTTCACTCTCAAGCTCCCTCATCTTCACTTACGAGCTCTCTTGAAGCTTTCAACTATGAAAGCGGAAAGCGAAGAAAAGTTTTGGCCTTCATATTGTATCAAAATTGGAAAGATGATAATATATGCCAACCTGCTACTCCTCATTTTAAAATGTCCTCACTTGTCATGCCTCACATCCTAGTGGAGGCAACTCCTTCCCGCCCATCGCTCATTGGGGCATGGCCCTCACCTTTTGTGTGGCATTGCATGTGTAGCGCTGCTATTCCATCTCTTCAGCTCGATGCATCTATCCTTCTCTGTCCTCGCTAATTGCTAGTGTAAGGCTCGCTTCATGCCCATGCAAGGGCCTCACGACCGCTTCATTAGTAGGGCTTCGGTCCTGTCGGCTCACTCCCATGGAAATTGATATTCACCCTTCTCGGTAACTTTCTTATTATCTCGTTCCAAAATCATGACATTTGTGTCCTCTTTTTCTTTGGACAGTACATGTAGGCTCTCCATCCTATCACCATAATGCAACTCCACCATCTTCCCTATTAAATATACTTGGAGCTATGATTGATCTCTCATTTAGCTCCCTTTCGCCAATTACCACCTCTTTGATTTGTTGAAGCTCTTTTTCTTTCCTCTCATTTGGGGACTGCTAAATGTAGTTGTTGGACTCATTGACTCTAGTTATGTTGTCATAGAAGTACCTACAGAAAGAGATTACATTATAATTATTTCTCATTGCTCATACTATGTTAATGACCATCTTATGCATATCCTAAAATGATCTCTTTTTAACTCCTTTGAGTGGCCCTCCTATTTCGTATGATTGGATCACATTCTCACAATTTCAATTACATTACTTCAACCAATCCATTTTTATCCTATATTTGGACAAGTTTGCAACTCGATATAATTTTAGGTATTATAAATGTAAAAATAAATTTTAGGTGTTAGATATGTAAAATACGTAGGAATTGGGTGGTGTTTATATCAATGACCTTAAAAACTTATTTTCGCCAGATCCATATGTATCACAGGGCTTCAGATAGGATGATCTTAATGAGTTTTTCATTTGTAGCTTCCTTTGTTCATTGGGTTTTGGATTCTTGGTTCTCATGTTATCTTTTTTTTTTTTTTTGCATCTCTTTTTTTCTTACAATTTTTTTACAATTGTATCATTTCTAATTATAATATTATTGAATATAATGACTCCAAATGAACTCATGACAACACTTAACAATTGTCTGGAAGGACTAAATGTCAACTATCAAAGTTTACATGCCATCAATAGATTCCCATCATAAGACATGAATCTCGAGGTATGACATGGATTTCAGGGCGATCTTTTGAGTAAAAAACGTTCAAATTTTAATTAAAAATTATCTAGAACTCTGAGTACAGTCAAACTGACCAACTCAACAAAACAAACCCAATGATACCAAAATTGTTCAAATCTGAACCAAATCACTTTTGGAAACTTTTCGGACATATTTAGAAAGTAAAACTAATGTCGAATCTGACGAACTTATAGTCAAATCAAGCGTCTCGACATGGCAAATGCTACAAGTCTAAGATCACTCAATTTTGATATCGTTAAGGTACTTAAATGTTCATCAAAGGCCGTTTGATCGAGGGAATTTGTCCGGGTCGTTCGATCAGAATGATTTATATTCCCTTGTCAAATTGCAGTTAGAACTTATAAATAGTCCTACCCCTATTTTGAAAGGGTGAAGAGAACCCAAAGTCTGAAGAAAACTAAAGTTTGGAGAAGCTGAAGTTTCCTCCTACTCTTATAGATGTCGGCCACCACCAATCACCGTTGACTATCACTCGTTGGTTGCTACCGATCACTATTAGCCGCCCCCCACTCATTGCGACGAAACATCGTGCGAAGCAGCAACTGACCCCAAGGAGTTATGAAGCAACCAAAGTGGCGTACCATCCCTAACACCGGGCCCCAAAGACGATGCAACAACACACCCCAAAGATGATGCACATCGTATCTCAAAGATGGGGTAACGACGCATCTCACATACACTCGTGTTACTCCCGACTCCGGACCTCACAGCCTTCGAACATCAATACTAACCACCATGACCTACGTGGTTCACAGCTCGTGCAGCTCCCGACTCCGGAACGACATCATCGCAACTCGCTATTATGGCCTTTACAAATTACGTAGTCCGCAGCTGTCGCGACTCCCTATTACGGTCTCTATGATCAATTTAGGCTCCAAAAACAACCATATATGACTCATCTGACCAACTACTGTCATGATTATCAACTACAAATTTTAAAACAAGCTGGTGCTACAACCACCATATACAATTCTCACGACGGACTACTACTTCCACAACGATCGACTATGGTCATTATAATCTGTTGTCGCCAAGAACTACAACCAGATTATAGATATAAAACTTTGTAATTTTATCTTCTCAAATTCATGAGAAGAGTTAACATATGGACTCATCATTCATAGTGGATTATTTCAGCTGAGCTTGACCCTGTAGTTTTTAACCTTTTCAAGGGGTTTCCACGCAAAAAATCGAGGTGTCTCCTCCTCACTTCTCTTTAATCACTCAAGTATGTGTTGGGTTCTCGTGCAATATGCTAAAACATTAATTAAACACTCTACCATCGTGAATCTTCTAACACACGTCTAGATCCATGAGAACTCCCAAACTATTCATTACAATTGGGTGCATCCACATGCTTACCACACAATTCTTATGTATTTACACATATCTTTCACCTAAGCACTCAAATCTTCAAAATCACATAAAAAATACCACCATCATTATTTAATCATCAAAATTTGAGTCTTATATGTATAAATATATAAGAGTAATGTAATACATATGTAAAATTTCCCTTACAATTATCATCCCCTCTTCCTTATTTCTTTTATGTTCAATTTTTTTCCTTTTTAACTAGATGCCGAAGGAATGCGGAGCCACATTGTCATACGCATATGGATCAAAAATCTTCATATTGTGGCCGCTGAAGGATTCACAGAGACGTTCGATTTTCATTCTGTTGAGCCAATTTCATTTGTCATATTTTATTTATAAAACTTTATAGTTCCAAGAGTATATGAGTGATAATGTTGCAGGTTCATGATGATTTTTTAACCTTCTGTAGAAATAATTTTGAACAGCTTTTCATATTGTTTTTCAATTCAGTGAAGAAGTTGTGCTAATGCTCCTAAATGCTTGGTCTTGTATGTATTTATCCACAGTTATGTCGAGTCGATCTCGAGTCACCCTCAACCTCAACTTGAGCATGGACTTGATTAATTAATCGAGTCCAAACTAGCTCAATAGCCAACTTGTTTATTATGAAAAAGAGAATCTGATTAATTCAAGCTAAGTGATTGGGCGGTGTAGTTTGGAGATTATAAAATGTAAAAATATTATTTTTTTTTTAAATATTTTTAATGATTTAAAGATATAGGTTTGAATTTTAATGGTGGTAAGGAATAGTCAATGATATATTATTGATGTTGAGTAGTCAACTCAAAATAAGTAATGTGGTCAATTGGGGTTGACTTTCTTTTGTAGATTAAGATGAACTATTTTGATCCTAGGGGAAGGTTGATCCTACACAATGGTTTTTTTTATTTGGGAGATATGTTTCACTAATACTTAAAGAGTGGAGATAAGGGTAAAGTTGGCATCAATGAATAAGAGTCAATAGATCCTTTCTTATAAATAATTGTGTTATTTGATGGTTATTATTATTATTTTTTAATTATTTGACTTGGGGAGATATTTCACATTTGTCAAGTTGTTCTTTTGCTCGGCTCTTTGTTTTCAGCATCATTCACATTCATCATATGTTATAGTGAAACAACATGATTGATGCTATTCTATACACAAATTGTGAATCATAATTGAATGTGTGTATGGGTGGGGGGGG